AGACGACACTCACAGGTCCATTTTCAACCGCGGCGAAGGCTACACTTGAGTTTTGCACCTTATTTGCAAACAATACGAAGTGCGATTGGGAAGAGCGTCATGCACTGCGGTACCAAGAAGGCAGCTACACATGGATCGAATTGGACTATACAGCTGAAACTCCACATTCCGAGTCCATATCATTGTCACCACTGGACAATCAGAGTGATATGGACCGCAACACAGATTTGGTACCGACGTCACCTCTGCCATCTGTGCAAGCTTCAGCATCCAGTCGTAAACGACGTCGCGCGGCCATGTGGACATCAACGCACTCGTCAGCAATATCTACTGCTTCAACGACATCAACACGGTCAACAAGAGTGCGACGGGTATTAAATGACCAATTCGACCGGTTGTATGCAAGTCCGAATGGGGATAAAGCCAGTGCAGCTTCGTCAGATTTTGTTATCGCACCTAAGTCGCAATTACCTACTGAAGTGCAAGACTTTGTGATACTTATTGCAGACTATACCAAGCTGCCGTATGCGAATAAAGCTAAGGACGATGTGGCAGAAAATGGTATGACTAAGCTGCCACTTGGTCGTCTCTCCAAGACTACCATCAAACGGGTATTTTAAAGTTTGTATCGAACAATTGTTGTTATTTGTGCTAATGTGTTTGATCTGTTGGTTGATTAGGGATATGAAATACTAGAAGAGATTTATGAAGCACTTCGCAGTCGCCAAATGGCTCGGAATCGATTGTCTTATCTAAGTAGCCACTTTTATTCCCTGATCCCGCATCTCTCGCGTCTTGAAGTTATTGATACGATGGTGAAGCTGGGCAAGAAAGTGGAATTGATGACTGAAGTTGATACGAGTGTACGCAGAATGGCTCAAGACCCGGTTGCACGACGACTTGTCTCAAGAAACTACTTAGACGAATGTTACGATCTGTTAGCGTGTGATTTACAACCTGTAGAAAGCTCGGATCCTGACTTTGCACTCATTCAAACGTATATCCGAAACTCTAATTGTTGCGGCCAAACTAGAGACCGATTGCGGCTGCTATCGGTCTTTCGAGTAGAGAAACCAGATCAGGAGACGCGATTTGAAGCCTTTCGCGAGTTCTCAAACCGCCGGGTAAGTGAAGAACTCCTTCTTTTAGTTCTTGGCACGAGTGTTTTGATCTAATTGTGCGTAATGATATTGTCAAATACTTTGATAGCTTTTGTGGCACGGTAGTCACTTAGCGAATTGGCTGGGAATTTTATCAGAAGGGCTTCAAATTGCGCCGCCTGAAATCGCTTCAAACGGACGAACATTTGGCAAGGGACTTTATTTTACAGATAAAATTACAAAAGCACAGGCGTATTGCCATACCAGGTCGGTGAATGGGCACAAGCTGTGTGTATTTGTTTTAAGTGAAGTTGCACTTGGAGAGAGCAAAGAAATGATGAATGCAGACGACAATGCCCAACAATTTGTATACATCGGAGCGGGTGGGCGTGCAAAGGAGGCGTATTACCACAGCTGTAAGGGGGTTGGATTGTGCCGTCCGGACTCTGCAGGTGAAGTGGTGGATATTCACGGCACCATTTGGCCTGTTGGGAAGCCAATTGAGCCAGAGGAGCGAGCAGGATTGCATCACAGTGAGTATATCATCTACAATTCCAATCAAACACGCATGCGCTTCATTGTGTTGGCAAATAGTGGCTACTAACAAAGGCTTTAAACCGACCAGCCAATGAAGAGCGCATACGGATGTGTGGGCTTAGAATTTAAAAGGCATATAAAGTGTTATAATCAAACGTTAATGCTAGTAATTTTTTTGTATTATATGTACAATATGTAGTTTAGATACTGCTAATTTGTATTTCAACTTGAAAATTGCTTCGAGCCATTAACTATAGATCCTGACGATCAACGCAGAAAATGACTGATCTTTCTTGGTGGCAAAAGCCATACTACACCGAGCTTGGATGGAGGCCAAGCGTCAGCCCTGTACCCTATTTTGAAGGTGCATTGGTCTTCATGACTCTCGTCTACCTCTTTGAGACGTATCTGGACATTCGCCAGCACCGAAAACTGCATGACAAGCACTTCCCGAAACCTTTGGCTGAAGCAATTGAAGGTCTAGGAAGCTATTGCATCGCGAACAAAGATGCCAAACGATCAGAAAATAAGGGAAATGATGAAACCGATGAAGCCAAGACAGAGGACTTAGATCCACAGAAGGAGACGACATTACTAAATGCGATGCAGAACAAGTTTGACAAAAGTCGCGCTTACGGACTTGACAAGAGCACGTTTGGCCTCATCAGCGGCGCTTACAAGCAGCTGGAAGCAACAGCGTTTTTGCTGTTAGGACATTTGCCGTTCATGTGGACTCTGAGTAGTAAGGCGTTGCTGGCATTAACGCTTGATACCAATAGTGAGATTTATCGAGCGCTGATGCTTTTGACGCTCACAACAATTTATGAGACGCTTGTGGGCATTCCTTTCGAGCTTTATTCAACATTTGTAGTGGAAGAACGTCATGGTTTCAACAAACAGACACTGGGATTATTCTTTTTGGACAAGCTTAAAGGTTTTGCGCTCTTCATTGTCATCGGATTTCCAGTCACGTCTGCGTTAATCTATGTCATTCGGTGGGGAGGCGAGTACTTTTACATGTACGTCTGGGCATTCCTGTTTGTCTTCTCTGTCATTATGATGACACTTTACCCAGTGCTTATCATGCCGCTGTTTAACAAGTTTACACCACTTGAAGAAGGCGTGCTTCGCACTCGCATCGAAGCGCTGGCTTCGAGTCTTAATTTTCCATTAACAAAGCTCTTTGTCACAGACGGTTCTAAGCGATCCAGTCATAGCAATGCCTATTTTTTTGGCCTTTTTAATAGCAAGCGTATCGTACTATTTGATACGTTGTTGGAGCAGGCGACAAACGACGAAATTGTTGCAATTTTAGGTCATGAACTCGGGCACTGGAAGTTATGGCATACTGCACAAAGCTTTGTGATTCAACAGCTTTACATTTTGGCTTCATTTTACGTTTTTGGTCGCTGTATGAATGACGCAGAGCTATTTGCAAGCTTTGGATTCGCTGACGACGCAGCCAAGCCAGTGATTATCGGCTTCTTACTTTTTTCGCAGACCATGTGGGCACCTGTGGAACATGTGCTATCGTTTTTGATGACTTTGAATACGCGAAAGAACGAGTTTCAAGCCGATGCATTCGCAGTGGACCTCGGCTACTCTGTTTCGCTCAAATCTGGCCTAACCAAGCTCGCAATTGAGAACCTTTCAAATATGAATCCGGACACTCTTTACAGTGCTTATCACTACAGCCACCCGCCTCTTGTTGAGCGTCTGAATGCCATAACCGAGCGAGCTAAGAAGTCGCAGTAAACACTTAGTGCGTTTTTAAGCATTGCAAATATGATTCTTACAGCGCACTTTACATCTAGTACTTTGGATAAACGATAAATTCAAAGTTGCTATCAAACGTGATTGTCAGAAGATGAAAGATTAGTGAGCAAAATTTAATTTGTCAACTGTTACGACTTCGAGAAGGCAATGCATATAGGCGCGCGCAGTTCAATGCTACGCAATCACGGGACTCGGATGGTAACTAGTGAGCCGAAATAGTCTCTTGTATCTAAAAGTGAAAGAGCAGTCAGTGGCACTGTATAAATATAAGGGTAGTTCACAATTACAGAGAGAGCAGTGCTACGTATGGAAGTGTAGATGGTAGGTGGGAAGGCGCGACGAGTATGACAACTTCAAATAGAAATAGCATAACTGATTTTATAAGATAAAAAAGTAGATGTGTGTCCCTCACAAGGAGGGATTCAGAAATTCAGTTGAAGCCGCACATTGTAAGTCAATTCCACGGTAATCTTTAGTAAAAGGCGAAAGATTAATACGAATGAAATTGACTTTGCGGAATGGATTAATTTAAAATAGGTAAGACTACTTTATACACATTTAACTTACCTCACGAACGTATGTACAAATTATAAAGCATAAGATATCCAGAAGCTATCAGCAAAATAACTACCTGAGAGCAAAGAGCATAAGATTGGGAGACAGGAAGCGTAGGTTAATGAAACCATTTTTTCAGGGATTTATAATCAATTCGACGTAATTGATTTGTTACATGGATATAGGCGCAGCTGCAATTTTCTTCGTAACGTTTGTCGCGGTGTTTGACGGGACTGTAGATGCAACAATCACGAGAAGTATTGAAGACGCTCAGAAACCAATGCTTAACACAAATTGAAATACAACGTCAGACGATCAATTTCCTTGTTTTGGAGTAAAAAATATTTTTTGCCATTATGAGAGCGATTGCGCTACAGTCAAGCTTTGTTAAGGCTTCGACAGAATGATTTTGATAGGTGAACTTTGACGTTTGAGTTTGTCCATCTTCCAAAATAGTTTACTCTCCCTAATTAACAAATTCGATTACGCTGAAGACAGCAAGTTGCAGCTGCGCCAATATCCATGTAGCAGATCAATTATGTATAAATATCAGAAAAAATGGTTTCATTAACCTACGCTTCCTGTCTCCCAATCTTATGCTCTTTGCTCT